CTATCTCAAACCTTACCCCTTCAAAATGTACCACTTAAACCCTCACTCCCCTCAAACCACTTAAGTCCTATTTACATAAAAAAAAACAACACAAACCCCCAAATCTCCTTAACAACCCTGACACCCCTCAAACCTTACCCACTCAAACTCTCACTTCCTCAAATCCTCAAAGCACTCAGCAAGCTCCGTCACACTATCTTGCTACACGTAGTGCCTGGGATGTACCTGGAGGTTTATTACTCGATATCTGCATGCGTTCACCATAGCATCACCGTACGTTTCACAACAATGCATCCATTTCACCATTATCGCCGCATCGTCGTCACGCCCATTACGTCATCGTGAGCCGCGATTCACGCGTTGAACCATCCATCAGCTGACACCAGGCTGCATTTCCTACACAGATGATCGGTGTCGAAAATCTTTGCGATTTCAATAGTCACACAATTAATTGTGGTTTTCATTTGGGTATTTCACAGTCCATTTGTGTTTCATTTGTATGCAGAATAGATCCCATTCGTTTTATGGGCTGTATCGAACACCTTTTTCGAGGACAAGCATGTATCAAGACAAAGCAACACGAAATAAACAGACCTAAATGCTCCCCTGGCATGACGTCATTATAGGTAGTGTTCCCTTGATCAAGACGATGTTGTTTTTATACTGGGAAAATTCAGACCGCCGGTGAGCTTCTTTTGTCTACAATGACTATCTGTACTTTAAAATTGGGTTGTGTTTAAAACAAACACCTTTTATTTACCGTAGAAATACATTGTTTTCAATTTCTTCTTCGGGCTGCAAGACACACTTTTACGTCAATGTGGAATTTGAGGTCTCTTTGACAACGCTTTAAATGTCGCTTATGCTGACAAATGTCTTTATACCCTTCTGTGTCATTCAAAAAGCACACAACTTATATTAATTCGAAAGCATTTGCATGCTATGAAAAACGACTTATAACCTATAATAAAGAACGGTGTCCGTAGGTTTGTGAGACAAGTTGGCTTGGACCTCCAGCTTTGCGTCAACACGACTGGCGTAGCTCGATCCCGAACCTTTGCAGAAGATTCGCCCGTTTCAAGCCCGGCGCGTGTGTAAGTAATTTAATAGCGTAATCATCGTCGGCGACATGTAATCGACGTCAAACCAGCTACCGGGTACCGTCAGTGGGCCTGGATAATTTGTTGCCAACGGACATAATCTGACGTGTAATTGAGCCCACGGGTCAACGCAGAGACTCGGTGGTCCTGGCCTATCAGTCGTGGGTGACATCCACCATCACGCCACTCATCCCCATTCATACTTGGCTTAAAATACCTACTTTGTATGGTCGCCATTTCAATTAAAAGTATTAAAGTATTCTTATACACACCATGATAACTAACTACTCCACCTCCACACAACGTTACAAATCACCACAGAATCGCCTTTTATGTTGTACTTAACTTATATACCATGTATATTTCACTGAAGCTTTCGAATAAGGTATATAACTAGTCTCACCACATCAAGCTTTACAAAATGCAATTTTAATTAGGCCTCTGGTGGGTTTTTCTAGCTGAAAAATCCTGTTGTGTTTTTAGCACCAACTCTTTACACAAGTGTCAGCTGATTTCCTAGTAACCGAATTCGACAAGGGGTAGAAGAAAAGTACGAAATTTACAATCCTACATCGGAATTTGGAATTTGAAAACTAGAAAACCCGCCATTGGGCAATCTACAGGGTCTGTCAAAAATACATCCCGTATTTGGAGTGTGTGCTGCAGATGTCAAGGACCTATTGACAGGTGTATATGTTCCATTTGAATACTGTTCAATACTATTCAATGAAATGGCGACCATACATAGTAGGTATTTTAAGCCAAGTATGAATGGAGATGAGTGTAGGATGAGTGGCGCGATCTTGTAGTCTTGTTAGTGACTAAGGCCGCCATTCCTTAGACACATCTGTTAATTAATAGCCCATACAGCTAATGGCAACTAAGGAACCTACAGTTTATAGTGGAATCCGAACCACATTTTTCCTTGGTATATACGAATTGGTCTAATTATCAGGATAGTACTGCGGATAGTCGTAGTACTCACTCGTGCGTGTGGTGTGGGAGTATCGCATCCATAGTGCATGCCTATAAATATCCACAATTCGTGACCTTCTAGTAGCTGGATTACAGGACGACGCCACCCGTCCCAGGAATCAAAAATATCTTATAATCCATCCATACAAGATTTAGGATACTTAACAGTTTGAGATTTTAAAATCCGCAGAATTGCGTGTGAGAACGTTAATTAATATCTTAGCTGTTTTGTTTTCTTTTGTCTAATCAGGCCCACTTCCACTTGACAGGTACCTAAGTACATATTTATTTTGCTGGGCTGCATATACCCTCAGGAACTTCACAACAGCCAGTTCACAACCTCCGTGTGAGTCTTGTGTACCAATTCTGGACTTGAAGATTTCTATGTGTGAACCGTGGAGGACGTCATCCATCCAAAAATAATTTTCAAACCCAAAATGGCATATTATTTGTTCTTTATAAACAAAGGCATTCATTCTCCATCTGCCTTTGTTGGTTTTTAAATGCCTTTAGAAATACGAGAGGATTTTTTCCTTTTCGAACTCTGTAAAAGCCTTTTAGCTTGTCAAGACTGTAACAGCACACCAACCCAATCGTCAAGGGTTTCTACAGCAACGGTGATGGAAGCCTAGATCCACGGTAGTTGTGACTTGTGACACATCACAGATGGCTCACATTAGAACGTAATAAAGGTTAATCGCCGTATAACCAGGAAGTGCAGTTTTTGTCGCCGATCATCACATTCTCGTTCGCGTTGGTATTTGCCGGTTGCGGTTGTAGGTTATCCACGTATCGTTGCACAACCTTGGTTGCTGGTTGCTCCACGCCCACGCACGTTGACGCTGACGACCAGTTGATGCAGTGATGTCATAGTTAGACCATCACTGACACGCTTGCGTCACTCGCACGCGCGCGTACAGCAGATCGCGAGGTTAACGATTGAAACGGTCGTTAAGGCGGTCATTTCAATTACGACTGGAAATGTCCCATTCTTAATTAAACCGGTCATTTGAAGATTCGTTATTAAACCGCGATCAACTTCTTCCGACATGCACGGAGAGGTTAGCCCGGTTAATTGGAATTATGATTTTGTGTGGATGTTTTACCGCTACACGCGTAATGGATTGGTTTATGGTTCTTGCCACACGGGAGGTGTTATACTCGTGCCGTTATGTTTAACTGTTATTTTGTTAAGAGTTACACGCCTCAGTGTCTTAACTGCTTGTGTTGATGGCAGATGTAAAGTAACCTTATTTTAAAGACCAGGTAATAACTGAAATAATTTTTTGTTACGTTGTTAATATATACGTGGATATTCTACTAACGGGGTTTTTATAACTTCTTAAACGTCTTTGTGTTTACACTCATTCAAAGTATATAAAAATAATACAAAGTATTTTATTTATGAGCGACCCTCAGTATAAAATCTTTGACAGGATGACTCTGTTTAGTATTACGTTACTAAAACTAATTACAGTCTTAATATTGTTGTATCCATTTACCATGAGGTTAAGTATGTAAAGGTATTTCTAATGCAATAACTGTGTTGGCATTTCATATATTCAATGCTGAATCTCAGACATAGAATGGTGAATTTCTGTTAGGTATAAATAAATTAAGTATTAAAGAATTGAATTGGTATTTTGTGGTTATCAGTTAAAAAAGTAGGAGCAATCGTGCATGAAGGATAGCTGCGGTGCAGTCTTGATTGAGACGTCTTTTATGCAAGTGCAACGGCTGACACAAACAATATCTCATACAACAAGAAGACGTCGTCCCTGACAGCAAACAATATCTTCTAAAGTTATACGTTTAGAGATGCGATTACGGTTGCAGTTGCGTTGGTTAAATCCGCACACGGGGCGACTATAATTGAGTTGAGACAGTGAATGAGTTCTAATTTTGTTATAACGATACTGTGTACTGTGTATGGTGTTTGAAATGAGTAATAGTGATGAAGAAGTCCTAGTGTTTTAAAAACAATCAAGAAAGCGTAGAGTAGAAGGTGTTGGGTACATCCTTATGTTAAAACAAATATTTAACGTAGGCTCTTTGTAGCTGCTGCTGCATTACAAGAAACAGACGCAACATTTCAGTCTATGTACAGAATGTCAAAAAGTGCTTACGAAGAGTTCGCAGTTGGTATACCTGATCCTTGAAAAGCGCAATACAAATATAAATATGCGAAAAGTTGTTCAAACCAGGCGACTGAAATCACCTAGCAACCGGCAGGTCCGATTGCTTAACGACTGATCGCCGACTGGTCCTCAACTGGTCGCATCGCAGTCGCACCGTGTACACTGTCCCACCTAACTACATTGGTCGGGACGTAGGCGACTAGTTTGTCCAACTGGTTGCCGATTTCAGTTGGAAAACAGTCTTCCCGTGTGTCGACGGCCTAGCAAACAATATCTTCTCAAGTTATACGTCGCCCCTGACAGCAAACATTATTATAATCTTAAACTATAAGCAGCACCTGACATTATTAAACATTGTACAATACTTAAATTTAGGCTTATGTTGTAAAACCAAAATGTTTGCAATATTTTTTTAATGCTGACAAGCAAAAAAACTCTATATCTCGAAAAATGAAATACGCTACCTTCTTAAAAGTCAACACCTTGTCTACGTTAATTTGTACTTTTTAAGCTTCATCACATTTTACGATAAATCATGCTGATTTTCTAGGACGGGAAAGCATTACGATAATCGTTTGAATTGATTTTAATTGCTTATTGTGGTGTGTGATCTTGTATACAATGCAACTAAGTTTACGGATACTTGTTGCCTCATTGGTGAAAATCAAACTTGTACATAATGTTTATCACAGATTGACAACCATGTGATATTCACATCATAACACACAAACAAAAACAAAAACAAATAACCCAACTTTTTGTTACAAAACATTCAACACTCTGCGCGTATTATTAGTTGCTATAGTCATTATGAAAATTTGGACGCAGAACACACATAAACCTCGCCTTATTCTATTTTGATACAAAGAAACAAAGTTCTAAAAAAATACGTTATTCGTCATTATTCTGATAACTTTTAAAATTGGTTCGACATTATGTTTCCACTGATCTCAGCATTCGGAAGAAGATGTTCCTTCACTCAAACTATCAGTGTTAAACTCGTACACCCTACAAGACGCACACATAGCTTGCAGGTCAGGAACACGAAATTCTATGTAACATCAACGAGGGAAAATTGCTTAAAAGCTTGTAGAACCAGGATTAATCCGGATGGCTCAGTTGCATTCCACACAGGTAAGGCAAGACAAGCTCCAAACAAATGGATGATTATTCTCAAAGTATTGAGAATACTTAGGCCCGCAACTATGATTGCATTGCTACAAGCCGTTAACGTAGACGTGAGGGAGCTACGGCTCGGGGCAATAGCTATAGTAGGAGTTATATTTATTGTTTCGGGCTGTTTGTTTTATTGGACACATCTGGAGGAGTGTCCAATCACAAAGCGAAAGAAATTCTTAGTACTTTCAGCGGGTGAGAGGCAGACGATGGGAGAGCAATTGTCAGTCAAATTTGTTGAAAGGTACACAGGGAGAGTGAAGATGACCGGTGAAGCTTGTAAGCATGTATCTGGAATATGCAAAAGAATGGTAAAAGCCAACAAACACTTGCCGGGAATAAAGAAAGATTGGCGCGTGTTCATAATCGAGGATAGTAAAGTCAGGAACGCATTCGTCTTACCCAACGGACACATCTTTGTGTTCTCTGGTATAGTAGAAACGGTGAAAAACGATGATCAGTTAGCTGCAGTGGTGGGTCATGAGATGGCTCATGCTCTTCTGAACCACGCCAGTGAGAAGATGAGCAACACTCTATTGCTGAAGCTGATATTGCTGGTGCCCATATTGATCATATGGGCTAAGCTTCCTGAAGCAGCTGGGTACGCTGATTATCTCAGTGAAATCATGTTCACCCTCCCGATGAGCAGACAGCTCGAAACTGAAGCGGATGTCGTAGGCGTGGAGATGATGTCGAGAGCTTGCTTCGATCCTCGCCAGGCAGTTGAACTTTGGAAGCTAATGGACGAACTAGCTCGGACGAATAAAATTGAGTGGATGTCAACTCACCCAAGTCCCGGAACTCGCTACCAGACTTTGGAAAAACTCATGCCCGGCGCGATGGGTATATACTCTAGCCATTGTAAAACTTGAGCTACGAATTATCTTGAATGAGCGAAACAAGTTAGAGATCCGAGCTGAGGTTGAGTAGCTCTCTCAAACAATTAATTGCGGTGATGAGTTCAAAATGTTAATTTGTGTATGTTTTGTACATACGGTCTTGCGTCAAAGATGTTGAAAGAAATTGGGCTGATTTCAAAATGGCGGTGTTGCTAGAATCGTACATCAATAAGAAAGTGTCAAATAGTCTCAAATGTATTTGTTAATATTGTATCAATATCAGCTCGTTATGAATAATTGTAAATTTTAAAATTGTACATAAATATATTGTATTGCTTTTAATTTGAGTTTCAACGCCTTTGGTACTTTTTTTGTGAGAGTACGGGTTACACCCCGGTCTTGTCACTATGCTCATGGTATTTTCATGTAGGAAGATATTTAACACTTGGGGAAGTTCTCTTTACCTTTTTACTTGATAGGTTTTTACTTGAACCCGATCCACAACTCAAGGTGCTCTTCGAGTCACCAGCATTATTACATACCTAAATTGATGACTGGCAGGTTTAAAATCCGTGCCTTCAGGCCAAATTCTCGCAGTCTTAACCACTAAACCAGCCGACCATCTGTAGCCCCCTGTTTTCGACATGTACAGTCTGTAGTCGATGTTAAAATGAAGGGTGACACCAGCAATTACGTTATAGCATTGACTATAGTTAGTCAAAGGCAAAGGTTATAGTTTATATTTATTGATCGCCATTATCATACTAAAATGAAGTTGGTGATAACATGGTCTTTGGATACTGAAGTAGCCTACCTTCGGTGATAGTAAGCAGCAAACAATACAGTAATACAGTTACGTTCCACTACGTTAATACACATTAATAAGTAATACAGTTACACGTCTAAGAAATAGCTGATAGGTATTGTGATTGGTAGAACACAATTGCCTCCTCTAACACCTAGTGTACATCGAAGTACACAGTACTAAGAGAATTTAGTGTTCGGAAATCACATGTGTTATCATGCACAGAAACTAACGTGACTTCCAATTTAAATGTTCAGTCAGAGTGATGATAGAGCACGCAGGTGTGCTGAGTGAGGTGAGTGCAGCACCAGACATAGGTGATGAAGTGGTCATCCTTGATCTGACGCCCAAGGTGTCATGCCGCGTGTACTGGTACAGCGTGGGCCAACAAGGCTCAAGATACCAACAGCTTCCTCATTGTCATGTCACAGCGGTTTGTTTGCAGTCTATAGAATCAAAAATAGAGTAGGAAAGTCACACCAATTGCTATGTACTTCGAAATATTTTGAGTGGTGTGCATATTTGCACTTAAGTTCCTAATTTCTACGCTTTTTTTTTGCTAGCCCAGGAAAATCAAATTAAAAGTACGTGATATACTAAACCAGCGAATGATCTAAGCCAGACTGCCTAACTCAACGTCAACGTGATTTCATAGAATCAGTAGAAGCAGAAAATAGAACAAATAAACAAAAAAAATAAATAAATTACATATTATACTACCACAGTGATATTGGTTTTGACCAAGCCAAAGCTGAATGCGTCTAAGTGACTATCAAAATCAAGAGAAGCTGGCATGTATACTTCAAAAGCGATTCTTGGCTCTCACCAATGGTAGACGCATAATGAAGATGTAGAGGTGATGGAGAAAGATGCGTCGCATTGTGGAGTTAGTCTTCCACTCACTGACTTCAGTCTTCGCTAGCCATTACTTACATTTTTATACTGCGAGTTATTGGCCTACCAATGGAAGTGACATGACACAAGTACGCAAGAGGCGCAACACAAATTTCTTACGTTGCAGAACAAGGCGTCAATGAACATTTATCAAATCAACAGAATCAGAAGTTGTCCCAAAACATAAATGAAATTACATACCACTATAGTTATTTTCTTCGTCACTCAGCCAAGCTGCTGAACTGTCAACGTGACTTTATCAAATCAACAGAATCAGAAGTTGTGCCAAAACATGAATGAAATTACATACCACTATCGTTATTTTCTTCGTCCCTCAGCCAAGCTGCTGAACTGTCAACGTGACTTTATCAAATCAACAGAATCAGAAATTGTGCCAAAACATGAATGAAATTACATACCACTATAGTTATTTTCTTCGTCACTCAGCCAAGCTGCTGAACTGTCAACGTGACTTTATCAAATCAACAGAATCAGAAGTTGTCCCAACACATGAATGAAATTACATACCACTATCGTTATTTTCTTCGTCCCTCAGCCAAGCTGCTGAACTGTCAACGTGACTTTATCAAATCAACAGAATCAGAAGTTGTGCCAAAACATGAATGAAATTACATACCACTATAGTTATTTTCTTCGTCACTCAGCCAAGCTGCTGAACTGTCAACGTGACTTTATCAAATCAACAGAATCAGAAGTTGTCCCAACACATGAATGAAATTACATACCACTATAGTTATTTTCTTCGTCACTCAGCCAAGCTGCTGAACTGTCAACGTGACCTTATCAAATCAACAGAATCAGAAGTTGTGCCAAAACATGAATGAAATTACATACCACTATAGTTATTTTCTTCGTCACTCAGCCAAGCTGCTGAACTGTCAACGTGACTTTATCAAATCAACAGAATCAGAAGTTGTCCCAACACATGAATGAAATTACATACCACTATAGTTATTTTCTTCGTCACTCAGCCAAGCTGCTGAACTGTCAACGTGACTTTATCAAATCAACAGAATCAGAAGTTGTGCCAAAACATGAATGAAATGACACACCTCTACAGTGATAATCTTCGTCACTCAGCCAAGCTGCTGAACTGTTAACGTGTCTTTATTATATCAACAAATTTAGAAGTTGTCTCAAAACACCACTAGTCTCATCTTCGTCACTCAGCCAGGCTGCTGAACTCTCAACGTGACTTTGTCATATCAACAAGAGCAGAGGTGGCAAAGATGTTTCAGTGACTGACACTATCGCTGATGATTCACTATTGGTGATGATTCCGGCTTTCTCCGCCTCCCTCACGTTCACTTGCACAACTTGCCTACTTACAATCGTCGAAGACGCTTATTACTGCACCACGCTGCGCCGGAGACGATTTATGTAAGTTGAGGTCATGAAATGAGGGCTTCGGGGCACAGCAATGAGATCTCTTAGAGTGATTTCGATCGCTTAGAGAGAATGGCTGGTCACTTATCATTGTAGCTGCCTAAATGCCTGCGGAGTGACTTGCTGTTATTACAGTGTGAAAAATTAATGATGCCATGTTTTAGCAAAAAAGATACCTTTCAAGCGTATAGGTAATCAACATTTATGCCCTATGAATAATTATGATAACGAAACTCAGGATGGAATTAGCTGGGCTGCATTCAAGCATTCCGGCTGATTTGTTTACCAAATAAACTTTAGGATACAGTTTAGATTCAACTGAATATTAGGGATTCGGACCTGAACTTTTATGATTTTGATATTTTTTCTCTCTTAATCTTACTTCCTTTGATTCCTACTTACTGATGCACAAAGTAATAACTAAGAAAAATAAGATATTTTTTTATAGAAATCTTTATTATTAGCTTTACTTCAGAAAACCTAACGTTCAATAATTAAGATAAACACATTAAACAATGGCATCACCTAATAAAATAGGTATATGTAGAATAAATTATATATATAATAAAATAAAACATATAACTCAGTTATTTTACCAAAATATTATTTTTTTATTTGTTTAATCAGCTGTTAGGCAGTTCAATACGAATAGCATTTAAGAAACATAAATATTGTGGGTTTCTTTACTGTCCCCAAGGAAACCGGTCAATATTAACTTTTCTAAGCCCTACAATATTTGTATGCAAGGGGGACAGAAATCTAGGTCGATAACGTAAAGAGAATCGACAAGCTACGTAATCCTGTGTATATAAACTGTTTTTCTTCTTCAAAATTACAACCAAGTACGACAAGTGGCTTCTGCGTAATGGAAATCAAGACGCCGTTATAAGACCTGTGTCATCTATTGTATAGAAAGGTAGGTATAATCAGTATGTTTTATCTATGGTATAATCAGCACAAAAGGTTCTTGGATTTCTGAATGTTCTTCTTTCACTCAATGTTGAGCCGAAACTACTACCCGTCCTTTAAGTAATCCTTCCATTTTAAGAGTGCTTTTCTCTGTTATCCAAAGTTCTCGCTATTGTTCGAGAAGGCACGTTGAAATGAAAAATACGGTATGAATACATCAATGGACTGTGTGCAGTGCACTGTACTGGATTCTTGGTGAATGCAGAATAGAGTGAGATTAGCTTTGTGATTAAGATCATTCTTTAGCCAAGAGCCAAGACCGTTTATCCAATGATTAAGGATGGCTGAACCAGTACAGGTTTCGGAGATCTTCCTTACTAACGAACAAACCAAACAGTTTCTTAAACACTTCTTCATAGCCAAAATACAATCTAAACTGGACACAGATCAGTCTCGAGATTGCGTTTCACGCCTCAGCTGTGGAACGGGACGTCAACACGTTGTAAAAGTAAGAGCGGTCAACACAATTTCGCCTATTTGTGCCAGTAGGGACGTCTTTACACCGGCCACTGTCCAGGGCATTGAATGAGGTCTGCTGAAACGAACCAATCTGCCACGCTGCACACTTGACATCTCTCACACACACGACCTACATCACACACACACACGCACAAGCCTGTGAACGCTCCTCTCTTTCCCTCGATTGTAATTAACATTGTTCTTCAATAATGTTTTTGTTTTCTAGTTTGACGTCGATTTCACCTACGACTGCTTTGGACGGTACCCATACGGAGAGTAGCAATCTTCTTAAATGCGATTACACTAGTTTCGGATTATTTACTTTCTAGTTTTACTTTCCTAATCTTAAATCCGGGATTACATTTTGAAATTATTTACTGTTCTACATTCTAACCTTATTCTATCAGGATCATAGGTGTTGGGGACGTGTATTCTTTCGTATAAAAATAAAACCGATAACCGATTAACAACTACTTAAACAAGTAGGTACAAGTGATTTTTAGACAATAAGTTAGCAAGAAAGTCTTTTCTTGAACATCCAAGGAAAGAATATCTTGGAAGCATTGTTGTGTGTATAGGCCTATAGTATTTATTGGTAGTGACAGTTTCAACTAAGGGATCGCAAACTCTTAGAGAGTGGTCCGAACACATCACATTTTTGTGAATATACTGAGAAGCGAACCCTTTTCTCTCACCTAGTCTGAGAAACTAAAATCCAGGCCAACGACACATAACCTTAAACCTAAACCATCTTGCGCACAAACTATCTCCACCAAACAAAGGGTAGGAATCTGGAGACAATTTTATACAACAGCTCGCTTGGATATACACACATTTACCAGACTGTGAGGTGCCCGAGTGGGAGGTTTGTACGATTATCCACGTTTGCTCGCAATTCTTCACACGTAAGCGACGACCGCGAGAATGCGCTGGTCATCTTGCAGACACCCGTCTTGCGGCCCCGGGACCAACCAATGGAAATGTATCTAAGACTGGACGATAGTTTGTTTAACAATCATTAGAAAACAATAAAATGTTGAATCGACCAAAGTAACATAACCATTCGTGGTACTGATTACGTAATATACCTAATAATTATAACCTAAGCTAAGAGTGGTTAGGTTAGGAAGATTATGTTTTTAAACTAATTAAAATCTTACTTGGAAGTCGATTTATCGGTGTGGTATGATACGTAAGTACCAAATTCGTGTTAGAAACCAAATATAGAGGCTATCTAAGTCAAATTGGTGTTGGATTAAGTGTTTGTTGCGTTCTTTTCATCTAATCACTCGCATGTTGCGGTAAGATGCTTGTACAGTACCTTCTTCACTTCCCCTTTACTAGGGTGCTCAATCATAAAATAATGATAGGCATACATTGTACATTTTTTTTAAAACCACGGTCAATACATATATTTACTCTTCGTGATTTCCAATTTCATTACACTTGATTATAGCTTAATGGCTTTCTCAATATTGATTGGACGTGTAATATGATTACTGAGCAATTGTATTTGAAAAATGTAATAGAAACTTTAATTCTTTTCGTAAATAATATTTTTTTTCTTCTTGTTTCAGAGACCGTGTGTTGTGTGATGGAGGCCCAGACGCCATGGTTCCTAGGGCGGTGGTCATGAGGGAGACGGGAGCACCCCCTCCCCCACCTGTCAAGAACACCACCTCCCTCCTGTCACTGCTACACAACTGTTCTAGTCACCAACACTACCCTCAGGTAAGTCAAGGTCATGAGAGAGACAGTAGCACCCCCTCCCCCACCTGTCAAGAACACCACCTCCCTACTGTCACTGCTACACAACTGTTCTAGTCACCAACACTACCCTCAGGTAAGTCAAGGTCATGAGAGAGACAGTAGCACCCCCTCCCCCACCTGTCAAGAACACCACCTCCCTACTGTCACTGCTACACAACTTTTCTAGTCACCAACACTACCCTCAGGTAAGTCAAGGTCATGAGAGAGACAGTAGCACCCCCTCCCCCACCTGTCAAGAACACCACCTCCCTACTGTCACTGCTACACAACTGTTCTAGTCACCAACACTACCCTCAGGTAAGTCAATGTCATGAGAGAGACAGTAGCACCCCCTCCCCCACCTGCCAAGAACACCACCTCCCTACTGTCACTGCTACACAACTGTTCTAGTCACCAACACTACCCTCAGGTAAGTCAAGGTCATGAGAGAGACAGTAGCACCCCCTCCCCCACCTGTCAAGAACACCACCTCCCTACTGTCACTGCTACACAACTGTTCTAGTCACCAACACTACCCTCAGGTAAGTCAATGTCATGAGAGAGACAGTAGTACCCCCTCCCCCACCTGCCAAGAACACCACCTCCCTCCTGTCACTGCTACACAACTGTTCTAGTCACCAACACTACCCTCAGGTAAGTCAAGGTCATGAGAGAGACAGTAGCACCCCCTCCCCCACCTGTCAAGAACACCACCTCCCTACTGTCACTGCTACACAACTGTTCTAGTCACCAACACTACCCTCAGGTAAGTCAAGGTCATGAGAGAGACAGTAGCACCCCCTCCCCCACCTGTCAAGAACACCACCTCCCTACTGTCACTGCTACACAACTGTTCTAGTCACCAACACTACCCTCAGGTAAGTCAAGGTCATGAGAGAGACAGTAGTACCCCCTCCCCCACCTGCCAAGAACACCACCTCCCTACTGTCACTGCTACACAACTGTTCTAGTCACCAACACTACCCTCAGGTAAGTCAATGTCATGAGAGAGACAGTAGCACCCCCTCCCCCACCTGTCAAGAACACCACCTCCCTACTGTCACTGCTACACAACTGTTCTAGTCACCAACACTACCCTCAGGTAAGTCAAGGTCATGAGAGAGACAGTAGCACCCACTCCCCCACCAGTCAAGAACACCACATCCCTCCTGTCACTGCTACACAACTTTTCTAGTCACCAACACTACCCCTAGGTCAGTCAGAGGTAATATAAGACGACAGCATATTTTCCTTCATGACCAACAAAAACAAAAACAAAAACATATGGTCGGTAGCAACAGTGTTTTGGTGTCCTACATTTAATCAAGTTCTAGGTGTTTTTATTTTTAAGAGGTTGGCGGCCTATTTTAAACTTGCAATTGCTTTTCCATATAGGCCTCGGGCCTGTGCATGGACACATTCAGCAATTTAAGGGGTGAGCTGATGCAGTGCAAGGTTGGACTGTACTGATAAAAAGAAGTAGGCAGGTACCATGACCTGAACTCAAGACATCACTGCCTTGGGCCCAAAATCTGTTGCGCTGCTGACTGAGGTATTGACTCTCACAAACTCATATCTCTGGTATCCAGTATCTTGTATAAGTTGTATTCCTGACTGATATATCTACTGCTAAGGTAAGACAGTCCAACCCAATAATTTTGATGATTCCCTAATTTTTCATACCGGGATGATAAAATTACTAAATATGAACGTGTTATTCCAGGGTAGTGTAGGCAGTGGGTCGCCTCCGCCTGCGCCTGTCAGGGACGTCTCAAGTCTCAAGGCGGTGCGCTACGGCCCGGGACATGAGAAGTACCCTTCGTGGCCGGCTCCAGCGGCGCCCCGCACCTCCCTCGGTGGCTCCAGCAGGTCCAAGTCGTGGACGGACCAGACCCACTACCCCAAAGAGGAGCCGCCCTCGATCAGTCGACCTTACAACAAGCGCATCAACCCTCTCTTCAGTCAACAGGTTGGTATACAAACTGTATTTGTTTAGACTATTGATAGGATAGAACTTTCTTTCCCGATGAATTGTGTCGCTATTTAAAAATAGCGAAGTTGAACTGAGTTACCAACCGGTTGATGTAAGATAGATTTTTCTCTTGAATATGCTAAATTGTTTACCAAGTCAAACTGATGGAGGGAAAATATATTTTTTTAATGTAGCGACAGACAATTAAGGTACAGAGGAAACACGCTTGTGCACTTTCAGTGCTGGTATGTTGGAGTGGAAGTATACTTGTGATGAGCAAGGAAGAGCTTGAACAGCAAGCATTGTTTGGAATTCCTTATGTCACAGGGCCTTCCTCCACTGTGAGGGGTGTTGTACTTGAGGGGGAGGGTGAGCGGTAGAGGACTTTGCCATAGACACCAGCACTAGTGCTAGACACCACTTGAGTGTACCATGGAGTGTATCCTCTGTTTCTTACTTCTCTGTGCTGTAGCGCACTATATTAGTAGCTCATTCAACGATGTTCTTTTATGTCTACTTCAGTATCCTATCGAAAATGAAAATGCAAAAATGATAGTGAATCCGCTTTTAACCGGCAACCGCCCCTGCATTAACCACTGTTCGGATTAACATCCTCCCTATATTTTTTAACAATAGACTTTGGTTTATCAGCCTTATATTTACATCCCTCTTAAAAAACCCTGGATCAAGCGTCTACTCAGTTAAAAATAAAGGTTGGCATTCCTGTCCTTAATTTTGGAGACTGTTTTCCCTAACCTTTTCTTGGAATAGAGAGACACCCGGTTCCTTGGTTTGGATAGACATCCGTCTCCGTCTCCGTGTCCATCCTCCCTCATTGATGAAATGATAGAGGATAGGACTTTTATTTATATTATTTCAGTAAAAACCCGAGATTGTTTCTAGACCCAGATGCTGTGTGTCATTAATTAATTATACTATCTAACAAAAGGTTCAGCTGTTAAAGGTACAGGTGGGGGGGGGGCTGTTATCAGGAAGTAACAAGGTCAAGGTTTGGACCGTCCCCTTACAAAAAGGTAAAAAATTGTCAATGGCATAGAAACAGACACACAAATAATAAAACATTAATTTCTACATTATATTTAATTTTACATAGTTGCCCGTTCCGACTCTAAGTTTTTCGACATATGCATGATCACCTCAGGGTAGGTTAGGAGAGGTTTTACTGTATTTGGATTAAGTAATTAAATACAATCAGCACGAGGTGAATATTCTAGCAATTATCTAGTCTGATTAATTTGGTCTATATTCACTAATTAACAGCTGTCTATTTAAAAAAACCTTGAAAAGATAATTACAGTTGCAAATCACTGTAGTTACAACGCTTCTTATATTCTACCATTGATTATCAAATTAAAAAGTTGAATTTGAAAAAAGTTGAATTTGGTTTACCATGTTTATAGTTAGGTCGGGTTGATGAATCTGACATTCTGTAGACTCCTTATATTGCATTTAAATGTGTTGCTATTATTATTGAAATGAAGATGTTACAGAATGAACTAATAATTGTAGTGATCATTACATATAGGGGCCGCTTAGCATACAATGTTTATGCATAAGCCATGAATAATTCCCAGCTTGTGCAATTGGGGCTATAACTTGCAACTTTCCTAATGAACTATCCATTATAGAGAAAGTGAATTAATAGTTATGAATCTGTGGCTCTTTCATTGCAAAGGAGGAGTTGTTGCCAATGGCTGTAAGGCAATTTACATTTTAATGTTTCTACTGTTCAGAAAGCATTTTGTTGGAGGAAATTGTTTTGAAATATTTCACATGACGATACAATAGACTTAATATTTTGAAATTAGTGGGCCAAAAAAAGAAAAATTAAGTATCAAGAGTAAGATCAATTTGAATTACAAATGAAGACTTAATTTGTTTAAATACTGAATTATGTAAGGTACATAACGTTACAATTAAAACAGCTTATTTGAGTTACTTTAAAGAAAACAACAACAACTTCTTTTTAGTTAGTTGCAAAAACACTATTATTTTTATCTTTTTGCTATTGATTCTTGCGCCATCAATGACAGTTAAGAGGAACTACTTTGCTAACAATGGATGTATAGTTTCTTGTTATTAAGTGTATGACAGGAGGGAATCAATCTATCAATCCCTCCCTTCGAATTATAGAGTGTTTTGCCCATGAAACTTCAAAAATCTGCTTGCCCTCTGCTTTAACATCAAAATACCGAGTATCATAATTCTTGATAAAACTTTGAAATATTAAGTGATTCTCTACGGACTGAGGTTTTATTTTGAATCATTGAAAGTTTTGATTTATCGAGTGTTTGAATTACTGGGAGTGGAGTGGACTGTAATTCAAATTACTAGAGTTGTGAAAGGTCAATATTTTATCATCATTTCCTATGTATGCAACATAGGGGTATTGGATCAAAAACATTACATAGGGTTAGGTCAAGGTAGTTAAGATCATGTGTTCAGGACCTTTTCAGACCATAAATGTTAAAAGCAATGAGTTACACTGAGTCACCACATGAGGTCTATGTTAGAAGGTCGCGCCAAGGTCATGTGTGGGTTTGGTGCACCAACATAACTTAACCCACGCTCTCATCCGAGTGTAAATCCTCAGTCGAGTGTCAAAAGCTGCACAGTCATGCCTCACTGTCTGACTTAATCGAAAACAAGAGCGGACTAGTGCACTCAATCACCACCGAGGTCGACACTCAATAGAGTTGATGATTTCTGTGCGGATCGAGAGTTAATAACTGGGTACTTGGAGTCAAGGCCAGATGCGTTGTCGACTGGTCTTGCAATCTCAGTGAAGGCACTCAACGTCCCTGGTTGACGTTGACTCTTTATATCTATCCGTCGACACTTTTGCAGGAGATTCTTAGGCCACCTACCTTCTAATTTCCTGTTGCTAATGTACCTGCACTGCGTTTAATTAGAGTGCATCACTTGCAGCGCTTAATTACTGAGGATATTGTGATATGCGCTCTAATGACTGGAGATTACATAGTAGGACAAACT